CTTAAAATAGGAAACAATCGCAGCTGAGACATGCATGTATTTTTCACTACACAAGCTTGAAAGTGCAGAAGGCACAGCTTGTGCTATTCCGAGCAAGGCAGAGAGTTTTCCTTCTCCTTTTGTTTCTGCCACAGAGCTACTGATTTACGAGCATCCTCGACAATAGGACCCTGTGGCAACCATCCTAAGATAAATCCTGCTTCTGCAAACACTTTCAAAACTGGCAGAATATCTGAGTCATGCAGGAAAGCATGATGTATTTCTACGGTTCACCTTTCGGTTGAATCTCTCTGCACTCAACCTCTATGTCCATGGAAGCAAAAGAGAAAATAACGTGACAAATATAAAGGATTTATCCCAGGAACTGAGTAACTGCTTCATGAGTCAGACTAGAATTAATCTGCAATGCTGCGCAGAGGTAAAATTCAGCGAGGAAGGTATTTCAGAGATGACATTAGGATTAATACAAGTGTCTTTGCCCACAGAACTGTGAAGAGCTGACTGGTGAGCAGACTGTCTCCAGAAGCCAACAAGACCAAGGACAACAGTTGCTGTTTATCTTCATAAATTGCTTGTCTCTGACTCCAGGGGCTGCTGACTTGCTACAGTTTAGCAAACCCACATTCACAGCCACCACTGTACGCTATTCAGAGGGAGAAACTTTCTTCAGAGCATCTCATTTGCCCCTTTTTTCACCAAGATTCCCACATCACACTCCTTAAAGCAACACTGGTGTTCACAACAGCACTCTCAGCCTTACTTTTACCTTTTTATCAGTACAAGCCACTTATTCCCAGCCTAGCTCTTTTTCCTATCGAAATTACATTTGTCAGGCAGCCAAGGTTTTACAAAAATGAAGTGTCCAGAGGGCAACAGTCTCTGCCTCCACATAACTACGCCAGAAAGATGCTCTTGACAGAAACTTCCTTCCACTGAACTTCTCCCCTCTCTCAAGTCCTCTCTGCAAGAGAAAACTGGACTAGTATTTCACATCATTTTAAAAATCATGAAGTTAAGCAAATACAAACCTTTGCCGGTGCCCTCTTACTTCTGAGGGAATGGCAGATTTTGATTTTCCTTAAAACTAAAAGACTTACTCTAACCCCAAAACAAATCTGGTCTAAAGCAAAACAGAAGCAGTCACACACGTCTACAACAGTTATGAGATAAAAATCGTAACTGCAGTTTGAACCATGCAACTTTTTCATGACCAAGATGCAATCCCAGCATGGTTAGAAGCAAGTTTCCTGCACTATGCAGCACGTCAGACAACACTAACTTAACCAAAAAGCCAGATGATAAATGTTTTAAAGCCAAATTTCTCAGATACTACAGTAATACATACCAAAAATAAAAAGGTATTAGAAAATCAGCAGGTAAATAAGCAAGGAGATGGAAAAAAAAAGAGGTTCAAGGATATGCTGCGGAGAAGTAAATTCAAAGATCCTGGTGAACAACAGTAGTCAGGCTTTCTTTCTTTCCCAGTGCTCGACTCAGTCTTGGCATTAAAGAGGCAAGATACCAAAAGGAAACAGTGAGGAGTACAAAGAGAAATGCAAGGGTACCTTAATTTTTTGTAGAACATTTACCATCACTTGAGCAGGTAAGAAAAAATCAGGAAGCTTCGGCGTGATTTTTCACTAAAACATACTAGTTCAAGACCATTTGCTAGGTTAAGTATGATTTTTTTACTTTTTTAAAATACAGTGTTTACCCAGTTCATGGATTTGATTTCTATGTGAAACAGCAAAAATGTCACACTTGCTCTTAGAGAGCCAAAAAATCTTTCAGAATAAATGTTCTTTTATTAAAGAAATAAACCTTAAAATCCAGGAGAGTGGCTTGCACAAGGGGAACAAAAGAAAAGTACTATGATGCTGAAACTTAATGAATTTACAATTCTTACTATTCCATCAGTGCTCTGAAATTAATCAGAATAGGAACAAAAAGTCAAACCATAAATGCCTGATTTCTCCTGGGTAAACTGGTAGTTAAACTGCAGGGAATTTATTTTTAATTCTAGCAGCAAGCAGGGGGGGCTTGGGAGAGCCCACATCAGATTAGCAGCAACATTTTACAAATAGGCACGACTGAATTCCACTACAACCCAGTTATGGGAGCATGTTTCCACCCTGTACTGAACTCGGGAAGGTGGACATTGCATGCCCCTGCCTCCCTCTCTCCCAGCCTTTCAGGAAGCTATGAAGCTAATTTTCCCCAGCAGTATTCTCTGGAGGAGCAGTTCACTTCTCATGAAGGTAACATGTATTTTTTAATTATTATTATTATTTTATGCCTCCCCAGGGAACGTGAGGAGGGGGGAGCTTCCTTGCTCAACAGAGAAAGAAATTTTCCTGTATCAGTGCCAAGAACAGACACCCTAAATTCAGCGATCCTAATCTCCAGCCATCCATCAGCAGCAGGGTGGGACCAGCTGATTCAGATTTTCTATTAGCTAGCGACTTTGTGTACTAAAATAAACCACTGTACCACCCAGTCATTCCTGCTGCGCTCTGCTCTGCAAAAGCACAAACTTAATAGTAGCTACCTCAACTAGCACTGTAAGAACTTCCCCAGCAGGCCTTTTGTAACTGGCACAATCCTCTTCCCACCAACTCTCCCGAGTCCCTGCGTGCCCCTGTGACTTTACACCATAAGCGTTTCTTAGGAAATTTGCTCCACTATCCTTTTGGCACCCATCACAGAAAATGCCAACTCTGACTATCTACAGTACCACAGGAGGCAGAATCAGAGAACAAACCTAACCTGCAGATGTACTATTCGATGGCAACTGTTCATTTACAGGGCCAATTAGTATTCAGACAGACAGTGATCAAGGCCCATATATAGTGCACACTGTGTGACAGATGAAGACAGGATAAAATAATAAAACCTCCAGCTCTATATTTTAAAAAGCAAGGGAAGATATCAAAACAGTTCACAAATATATCAGCCTAATAAATTACTCTGTTGGTCAAATATTAAATAACCCACATTCATTGGTTATTTTCTGGATCAGAAAATAAAATATGCATAATTTGATTACTATTATTCCATTATTTACACAGTAAAATCAATAGCAGAATACGTAAACTAGCAAAGGATTTGAAAATAACATTAAATAAAAACAACTAAAAATGCATGACCGAGGCTAACAGCAAACTCTGTTAACCCAGTCAGGCAACTCACACAGTTGGTACTCTGCTAGTTTTCAAATCCCATAGACTAGTGCCATGAATTGGGAGCAAAAATAAAGAAGGCATCTGAGACCAGTTTATTTCAATTAAACAAAACACAAGCAGCATGTGTCTCCATGGGTCACACAAACTTCTGTTCTCATTTATATTCCTACAGCTGCAGAGAAACAAAAGGACTTGGTAAGCCAGGTCTCACTGGATATTAACAGCGTGGGCCACGCACAAGCAAGTAAATTTTTAGCAAAGATAAAGGCAAATGCTTCATGAGTTCAAGATAGCTCTAGAGCATCAGAAGAACTGGTATCCACACATACGCATTTGGTCTAGAGCTTCTCTGCAGCTTAGAGGACAGAATACTTTGGACCTGTTGTTCTAGTTCAACATCACCATCAGCCAAAGAAAAGTAGCCAGCCATTTCAAACAAAGGAAACAATACACCTGCTACCAAAATTTTGAAGAGTGACTGCTGATTTTGGGTGTCCCATATAACCCATATTAACAGAGACAAAATTTTCAGGAAGCTACAGATACCTTCCTCCTACCTACCTTCCTAGTGACAAAACTGGCATCCAAAAACCCAACAAAACACCACAGGTCTGTAGTTCCTTTGAAAAGAATGGCCTCCAAAGTCAGTAGTGGAAATTCAAAGGAGAAACGCTTTTTTTCTAAAAGTATCTAAACCAGACACATAGAAACCTCAGAGAAAAAGAGGACATACAAATTGCCCATTTGATCAATTAATATAGTGGGGCATTTAAAAAAGAACCTCACTAATTCAAAATCATGCCCTGACAGGGATCTTGGTTTATTTTTTACTATTAAATTACTAAAGCAAACAAACAAAAAAGTATTCAAGAAGTCTGCATTATAAATTGAAAACATGGTAAGGTATGCTAAGTGTTTAGTCTCCTACAATAAAATAAGGAGAGATATAAAGGAGAGATATCATGCAGTACTCAACACAGCTTTATGGAATTTTGAAAGGCGGTAACAACACTAAACATTTTGTTCAAACAGTCAGGTTTTGGATTAGGAAAATAAAAATAGTTCTTTACCCAAAAGTTAATAAAATACCTACCACACTAACATATCAAGTAAACATTTGCTAAAGTTTACATCAGCTCTGCTCAGTTAGGGGTAAGCAATTAAATTATTTATATATTGCACATCTCCACCTAAGCCATTCATCATGAAAAATTCCACTACGGGATGTATAAACAAATGGTTCTCCACCGATTACTGAAAGGTAGCCACCACCAAGATCGAACTTACAACAGCAATGTAAATAATACCAACCACTATAGATGGTATATCTACCCATACTTAAGGGATAGTAAAAAAATCCCAATTCATTTTTACTGTAGATGCTAGCTCCTCCAGAAAGCACATCTCTATTTTCTGCTACAATTTTCAATGTACTGCAGAATAACTGTGTAAAATATGTCAATGGAAAGCTGGAAGTTTTGTCAACTGGGAAGAGAACAGATGAGCCACTTAGGAAGGTACACAAACAAAGCAAGTTTGCAGGAAGAACAGAGTGGCTAGACATCAAAAGGATCAGTGAAAAAACAGCATCAAATTACTCAACACAGCATTGAATGAATAAACTAGTCACTTTTAAGCAGTGATTTCTGACTGTTTGCAAGCAGACAAGATGTAATATACTACGTATACAAACATAAGAAAAATGTGTGTAAAGACTCTGGAACATAACAGTGAAAATTCTGTAGCCCACCAATATGTGTACTTAACACAGAACAAATATTTCCTCTTCCCATGTATAGCATTAGAGAGGCAGCTTACCCTTTCCACTTGTCCTTCTTTGTGCTTCAGTTTGTACACTTTCAGCTTTGGAAGGAAAGTCTCCGTGTAGTTCTTGTCTTCCATGCCTTGGAGCAGCACCCCATGGAATGCCAACCTGCAGGTATTTGCGTGAATATCTGTATCCAGCTTGGAGCCGATCACAAGGCACAATTTAGGACAAGTGACTGGTTTTTCAAACTCTAGTAAAGCCCACTGTTGTTTTGGGAGCTGGACTTCTCCTGCCTGGTCATTTTCTTTGTTCTCTGAATTTGAGTCCTTTGACAAATATTCCTCTTGATAAAGATAATCTTTTTCGAAGTCAAAAACATTTTCTTTAATTTCTTCATTGAAGTCAGCAGGGGCTGGACTGAAGAACATCACTCTTCCCATAACTGTTTCATGACCAACTGTGATATGGAACTTGGCCTTGGTCTGAAGAGCTCCTCGAAAATACTGGATTTTCTTCAGAGAAATTATTGCAGCATGGATGGTGTGAAGTGATTCTGGGGTGCAAATTAGGCCTCGTTCTAGCAGTTTGGGATCAAACTGGGTTACACAGATACCCACTCTGTCACCCTGCATAGCGTAAGTCACAGGAGTGTGGAACATCTGCATGGACTTGACTTTCTTTATCACCTATTGATGAAAGACCAAGAAAAAAAAGCAGCAATTAATTGCACAACTGCATCACAAGCACAAAGCCACATATCACATCCTGCTGTCTTGTAAGAGGACTGAACTTCTAGAATAGTCCACAGTTCAAAAAGTTGAAAGTGAACAGAGAACATACTCCATCATTTAGAATTACCACAGGTTTGCACTTCCTAGCTTATTCTACTTCTGTTCATGAGACTGTAAGATCATCATTGCCACAATTACGTTGATACTTGCACCACCTGTGTTGCAGTACCTACATACTCTCTGCAAATCAACAGATATACCCACACCGTGGAATAGCTTATTTAACATACTCCCCCTAAGCACCTGCACCATCAAAGGTGTAGCACTACTACCCATCCATGCACCTATGTGACTGTTTTCCCACCCCTTCTATGAAAATCATTTCATACACTTCTTTGACTTCGTTGAATTCAACTGTAAAACATTCAGTACAAAAAACATTTCCTTATATTGTATTTGTACAACACCTAGCACAATGAAATATTGCAAACCACCATTGCAAAATAATTAGTAATACAAAAATCTACCATCTCCTAGTCTATGACATTCCATATATTAAAAAAAGGCCTCAAAGGTTTCTTGCAAAGATTTGAATGTTCATAAATATATGGCTAGTGTTACTGTCACAAAAATGTGGGGTCCCACCTGTTAATATTATCATAGGAAAAGTGCAGCACTGGCCACCACTTAAAATTTATTTAGCTCTTCCCAGATGCTATAAAAGTTTGACCTTAATGAGCTTGCTATTGTATTACTTATTTCAAGGAGTTCTCAAGGGGAAGGGAAGAATGAAATAAGCTTTTAGAGATCACTGTAGGCTCAGCTTCGTCAGATTAAATCAGTTTGGTTTAACAAGGGTTTATTTTGGCTTTTCTTTCAGTTCTGCAAACCATCCTTTAGTAAGATTCCCCCCCCCCCGTTTCCATGTAACCAAACGTTTTTTCTGATAATATGTTTATGTTGCTACCTGTTACATCCATACTAATGCTGGATGCTTGGATAGGTAACCACTCTGCTTGCAATCTCTATACTAGACAGCTTTTAATACTGAAATGATGTTTTTAGCAATAAAAAAAATATTTATCTTCTAAATAAATATTAAGTACTTGAACAAGAGTCCTTAGCAGAGAAAAGTTACACACAACATTTTTGAAAGGCTGAAACCTCAAAATTCAGATCCAAGAACTGAAGTCTCCATGGAAATGCTCTGTTCCAGAAATAATTTCTTTAGTATGTCTTTATCAATATACAACAGATTATACTGTGAATGCATACAGAACAACAATATTGTTAGAACAGATCTCAACTCTCAGTATAATTTCTTCTTCTCTCTCCCTTTTCCTAGTACCAATTCTACAGCTATCAAAAGGTTCACATCAAATGCTACTGTGCAATTCTGAGCATTCAAGCCATTAGTATCTGTCTTACTCAGCTGGAACTGTTCTCAAATCAATCTCCAACCACTGCATATCCCTTTGTAGCCCATCTTTGAATCCTGGCCCACCTTATTTATCTTCTAACTCCTGAAAATAAAACCAAAATACGCAAGCACTGATGAAGAGAATCCCAAACCAAAGGATTGGACTCAGCAGATGCAGGCTTCATCCTCAGTATGTCACACAGCTTAAAGCCCATCATTTAGGTTAGATGAGACTGAACAGTCTAGAGAAGTTAACCTTATTAATTTTAATCACAGAATTATTTACTTACAGGATAATACTGAAAATAACAGCTTTTCTTCTGCATCTTGGATGCAATACATAAGCGGAAACAAAACTAAGTTTTTCACCTTTTCCTTTTCTACAAAGCCTGCTGCCCTATATGAAGGGCATAGTACTTGGCTTCAGACAAATCTTTGTACGCCTATTCCCAACATCACCAAACTAGGCAATACTAAGAGAAGACTGTAGAAAAAAAAGGAAGAAAAACTCAGAGGGGAATAAATTGCAGAAACTTAGATCAAAATAGAGGAGTATAGATGAAAAGTCTATTGGCTGAACTAATACCTTCAGTAACTGGAATATAAAGAGCTCTCCAAATAAGTCAGCAAAAAATAGTCACAGGCAATATACAGAGAGCTGAATAAAAACGTGAAAAAGTCTAGCAGCTACATAGCTTCTAGAAAACAACAAAAATCCTGTATTCCTTCTTGAAGTCATAACTACACAAATAACAATGGCCATAAGCTTCACCACTACAAATATTGTTAGGGTTTCCTGGATATCTGGCTGCTAACCAAAACCAAAAGAAATGCCCTTTTTCAGATTATAAGAAGTTATTATTGCAATATTTTTCAGATCAAATGCCACATCAATGCCTCCGTATTCTTGGAGAATCCACAGAATATTATGACAAAGGAGATCAAGAGGTGTATTCATGTGAGAGAAGAACTCCTCACTAAAAAGCCTGGACCAAAATAGTTTGGTATAATCTTACCTAATGTCAGAACAGACTTAAAAGGCCATTCTAAATACTCACTAGGATTTCAGTTTCAAGCATTTTTGTGCTCAAATACATATTCATTATCCCTTCAGGCAAACCTCCTAGACAGTACTACCTATCTAGATGAATTAGGGAGAAACAATTTAGCATTTATCTCCACCTTTCTATTCACTTCCAAGGTCATACTTTTGAAGGCTGGAAGTATGGTGGCTTGAATCAAACCCTTCCTTCTTTCATTTGCTATAACCTACTCCTCCCTCTCCAGTTTCAATCATTGTGATAGCTGCAACACTGGTGATACAAGTAATGTTTAAGGACTTAAAAAAAAAAAAAAGGTGGTTTTCTAAATATATGTGTTCCAAAAAAATAAACAAGCACTACAAGATTGAAATTGCCACATGAAAAGTGCCAGCCCAAACCATTTTGAAGACTTCTGTGATTTTGTATGTGATACCAGCAGTAAATCTTTCATCTTCTACACCCATGGACAGGGTGAATAAGTGACAAGAACTAAGGAATCTTCCAGCACTGTCCCTCTTCAGCACAAAACTGGAACTAAAAGATGCACGAGAGATCTATGCAGTTTTCTATCTTAAATGGAGCCACAATACTAAGATTTTTCTCTTTATTATTAATATTCCAATTTATAATAGAAACTACTCACCTAAACAGTTGAGTGAAATTATACTTGCCAGTCTCTAAAATAGTCTACATGCATTCATCTGAAATATCTTTCACAGATTCGCATAATATTAAAGAATAAGAATTATGTTTAAAAATACCTATTCTTGTGTCCATATACTCAGAACACAGCTTTTAATTAAGCATCTATGAAACATTTCTTAAAAGTGTTATGCCTACCCTCCCCCCTTAAATTCAATCAAATGATTAGGCTTGATGCATCTGACATGCACATAAATAACGATCAGAAGGAGAATTAAGAAGTTTTTCTAAAACATTCACGTCACAAACTTCTTCAATGAGATTTGCAGTCCTCAACCATGGCATACAGAGCTGGCTTGTATCAGAATACTAGCTATGTTCTTCCACATTTCTCAGTGTTAAACAACATTAAAAAGAGTATACAATTGTAAAGGTCACTTTCCATGACAAAAAGCTTGCTGCAATTCCTACACATAGGAGAAACTTGGCAGTGGAGTATCAATACAGGAGCATTTTCCAGCATTGCGTGAGGCTCCCGTTAATACATTCGCTTGTGGTCCTCACAGTCTCCAGTGCAAGTTCAGGAAAAGTTTTGGATCCTAACTAATTCTCTCTCAGGCTGCTCTTTCAGGAAACAGTATCCTAATTAAAAAACCCACTGAAAATCTTCAGAATCATGTAAAGGTAAGTTTTCTTCCACCAACCAAAGAAGCTTATCTGTGCTGCCCCCCACATCCTGGCTGTGCTCACCCAGAGTTTTAAGAATCACCTGATTTCTTTGTAGCTGGGTCTGGCTTTCAGACAGGTTTGCTTGTCCTCAGACACGTAAAGGGAAAGATACTGCATTACTCAACCTACTGAAAATCAGCACTTCGTGCTGACCTATCCAGTACCTTGCAGAAGATTTAATCAGCCCATCTATATTTGTTCTAAATGTAAATGGTTTTTCCCCTTATATTCATGGTATCTATTCTTGTATCTAAAATTCCCATAGACTTATCAGAGGACAGAAGAAAAGTAAATGGGAGGAACACATTCAAGTCTGTTCCTTTTCTTCTACCTGTTCTCAGAATCAGAGAGTTCTACAGTACCAGAATCAACTGTAAAAGGAATATACAGCACAGTACCCTAACTGACAATACACTCTGTTCCAAGAGCATAACATATGTAGGAATTAGAATCTGACCAGAACAATGCTAGAGTGCACTTTGGTGATGGGGCGGGTGGACTAGCTCACACAAGAACAGAGTTGGAATTGCATCTCCTTCAAAAGGTCAGATGTGGAACCAGCAGAGAAGTGAATCAAGTGAGTTGATCTGCACCCACTGGATCAAATAACAAGAGCCAGAGTAGCTTTAAATCACTAGCTTCCTGTTTTCTGAGCAGACCATGAACATCAGTACAGCATTTCATTCCATTTCACTGTGACCCCGACTGACAGAGACATTCGTCCATGGTTTAAAATACTCCAAATGTAGCATTCTTCTTCAAGAGACCGAACTACATAACTAAAATTCATCTTTGTTTCGTCTGGCCTTTAAAATACAAACCTGGAAGCACTGAAAAGGATGCAACTGGCCCTCAGTACTAGATTTGTTTCTCTTCTGTGTATCTAGTTTCCGTATGTAAGGGACCCCACAAGTTATAGAGCAGTTCTGAACTTTCACATATTTTCTTTAGCTTTACAGCAATAGAAATTTCAGGCAGGTATCTGGAGTTGGGGCTGGATCCACCCATTTACCACCAGAATGACATTAAATACTTCAGAGCATTCTGTCCTGAGCAATAGGAATTCGTAACCAAGACCAGCTATGACCAGTATCTTCGGCACTTCTTTTGAGCATCCAGGT